TTGCTCCCACTGTCCCCAAACTCATATGTACAACGAGAGAACAGAGCAAGGCAATTCAAAATGTGTAGTTTAGCATTTATAAAATTTATCATACGGCAGTTCCTAGTAGTTTAAATATACACTTCCACTTTTCTGTATAATTTCAGTTAAAACCCATAGTCACTCCACAGGTTGGAGTGCAGCTGAACAAATCAGCTGTGCTTGAGCTACTCTTTTGTACTAGGAAACAGTTGAGCTTGCACTGAAGTCATGCTTACAACTAGAATTAGATATGCAGTCCAATAAAACCATGCACACACCAGTATCACAGATAAGTATCATAGATCTCTGCGATTATATTTGAGCTTTATATTTTTAAACTTCAATACCTTCAGGCCTCATCTCAGGTATGTACATATTTATTAATGTTCCTGTATTGGTAGAGCTCTTCTTGTACAGACGTGGTCCGTGATGGGGGAGACAAGGAATGTAGCCTATGCTAAGAGGTTTCTGAAATGAGTTGCTTCTTTTGGTATGCAATGTCAGAGCTATGTTCCTTTTCTGAAAATAAGAAAAAAAAAAAAAAAAAAAAAAGTGAGGGGGAAAGCCATTTTGAAGTTGCCTGCTGCCATGAGCCCACTGACAGTGTTGTAAAATTATCTGAATATGCCACTGAAAGCCAGTAGGGGTGAAACAGCAAAATGTCTCATTTCCTGTCACAGTAAGTTGCAGTCTTGTACCTCAACTAGTTCTGGGAAGGGATCTTTAATAACAGACAACTTTTTCTGCACATATAGTGAAGGAAAAATGGTTGATTTTTTTTTTTTTTGGCATGTAAGTTCTGTTCAGTCAGTTTTACTAAAAAGGCTAGACATCAGAGACCTAACTGTGATCACCTGGTATTACAGAGCTTTTTTCCCACTGTCACAGTAAGTAAACTTTAAAAATCATCTTCCTTGGGTATTGGAGGTGCTCTAGCACATATGTACTGATTGGCCTATTTGAAGTAAAAAAAAAAAAACCCAGATTATCTTTTATGTAAGAGTAATCCTCTTTCTTTTATCCCTGCAAATGTACTGTCTGTATCAGTCATAGGTATCCCTGCAATGCTGCTATTATGTGCATCTTTATTTAATGGTTAGGCTTCATACATATGTTTTGTATTTCAGCTTTTTTGTTCAGGATCTGAATTTTAAAAAATTAGCCTACCAACACTGCTTTTTTTTTTTTTCCCCAAATATTCCCAATTACATTCTCAAATCTTGGAATTTGTAAAGTTTAGTTTATAAAATTTGTGTAAGAGATTAATTTGGTCCACAGTCTAAACATTTTTAGAAGCTATATTGCTCAGAAGCAGTTGTATTTTAAGAAAGATCAGTTGTGTCTTCAAATTTAGCTTCTCTTAGTAATTTAAATCTACTTTACCTATAATTTCATATTTAAAATGCTGCTTACAAATTAATTCTGGCTAAGTTTATAATCGGTTCCTAATACCAGTCATATTTTTCAGAGCTGATTTAGTTATTTCTGATTCCCTGCTGCTGGAGTCCACACTGTTAGCTTTGGATGCCTATAGCAAGAGTAATTATCCCCCTCCAGGGTGCTGCTGCAGGTGGTACAGGCATCTGCATTACCTCTGGTGGCACTTTGCTCCTCACCTCACCTTCAAGCTGCCACTGCTTTTTCCAAAGGCAGCATGCCTTGGGCGTAGGACAGAGGAGGGCAGGCACGCTGTTGGCTCTCAACCTGTGTGCTTCCTACTCTCTGCAAGCATCCTTGGGCTGACTCTGCTGCCCAGGCAGGCTGGGTGAGTGCAGGTGCCCTGAGTGAAAGGAGGCACAGCAACAAATGGTGTTGGCTTTCTACCTGTCTCTTGGGGAAATTGCTGGTTGGGCTCAGCACCTGAACCAGACACTTTCCTTGTGCTGTCCTGTAGCACTACTACATCTGACAACACTTTGGAACTGCTTTGTTTCAACACAATCTGTTTGGTTTGTTGTTTTTGGTGTGTTGGGGTTTTTATCTTTTTGGGGGGGGGATGGGAGAGAGTGGGGTATGAGCAGTTGTTTTTAACAGAGATCTAAGTAATTGCTAAAGCAAGACAAGTAAATTCATACCCTTTTTCTAATCTCAGCAGTTCGGGGATCTTGTTTCCTTGATCTCAGAAGCTATGGGATTTTTAAGACCTGACATAATGTACAGAAACTGATACCAGATAGTTTCCTTCTTGTTGTGGAGGATTTTTTTACAGGTTTAAGTTGTATAACTGGGACGACTTCTGTCTTGATTTCTCTCTCTTTTTTTGGATACCATATTATTTTGCAAGTATCTCACAAGTTCAAGGCAAACCTGCTGTGCTGGCCATTAAAACATTAGGAGAAACACAACAGTATTACCATTTTATAATCTGATAGTTCACTCTTCCTTAATATGTTTGTGATACATTTTTGCCTTTTCTACCTGTGGTCATAGCAGTTATCAAATGTCTTCGCAGAACTACTACTCACTGAGTTTTCTCCACAGTTCTAAGAAAGCAGTACTGCAAGATCAGTGAACTTTATTCTAGGTACAGTTTTTGATCATATTATCTAATAAGATGATGAGAGGAATAAAGATCAACTGCAGTGGTCTATTAAGATCAACTGCAGCTGGCTATTTAATTTTTTGCTGAACAAGTTTCTTAAAGAATTTATAGTGTACACCAAATAAAATGAATTTAAAATAAAGGCAATTCAACTCTGTCTTAGAAAACTGGGAACAAACAGCTGAGTGTGATGGCCAGTTTCCAACCATTTCTTAGCTGTAGTCAATTTTAAAAAATTGTTTTATTTCTCCATTTTGGATATTTCTTTTTTATTTCACCCATGGCTGGAGGGAATTTTAAAACAAAAAGGCATAATCAATAATAACATCTTGCAAGCTGTGCTTTTTGAACCATGTGTATTGGAATTTACCGAAATCCTAATCTTTGTGTGTTTTAGCTTTAAATAAATAAATATTGACACTACGTATGCTCCAAGATACATATTTCATACAGAAGAAAAAGTCTTCGTAATTTTATGGGTTTGTTGACACTCTTGTTGACCAAACTGGAAACTTAGCAATTTTGCTTTGAATCTGAAACTGAATTTTTAGCATACTTAAGATCACTCTTGTTAGCATTCTTCTGCCTTTATACTAGTGTTAGTTATTTATGGACTGACCAATGAAGTAATAGCCATCTTTCACAAAAAATATTATGGGAATACACAGTTAAAAGCTAGGCTTGATGGGGTGGGAAATACGGCTACTGACAAATTCTGTTGAGGCTAGTGGGAACTTGGCAAGGTCTCCAGCCTAAGCTTGTGCCCAGGGCAGGCTCAGCAGACCTGCTTAGGGCTTTGCCTTGTTGGAATATGAACCCCACAGAGACCCAGTCCCACCAGCTGTCCACATGGGGAAAAGGCTTCTTATCTCCAGACCGAGGTTCTCATGTTGCACTTTGTGCTACTACCTCTCATCCCCCAGCCACGCAGTGCTGTGAAGAGCCTGGATGTGTCTTCTTCATCCCTGCCTGTCAGTGCTGAGGATACTGTTAAGAATGGTTTTGTTCTGTTGCTCCTGGCCTTTGGACCCCAACATATGTGTTAATAACCTTTACACTTGTCTACATCAGTTTTGCTTAAATTCAGAACCATATTAGTGTAAAGCAAGCAGAGAATTGATGAAAATTAAATCATCATATATCTACATGGACTTATGTTTGGCTTAGGTATGCCAGGCTCTACAGACAAATCAGGGACTATTGACTTCCATTATTCAGGCTTTCAGTTCCTTATGGGCTGTCTTTCTAAACATGTGCTGTGAAGAACTACTTCAAGGCAGTATAAGGCAGAGGGAAAGGAATGTTCATCAAATGTCTCTTCAAAGAGATGTGCCAGATGTGAGAGATGTGCATTTGAGCTGTACTGCTGCCACTGCCTTTGCAGTGACCAAAGGAGCAGGGCAAGGCAAGTGAAGCAGGAGTGGAGGGAGTGCACCCTCCAGCACTTCATTAAAACTAGTAGTGTAACTGTCTTCACAGGTAGCTCATAAAAATGTACTAGTTAAAAACATACTCAATGTTAGGATCTATCAGTGCAGCTCTTTTAAGTGAGATGTGGTTCTACTCTTAAGCTTAGTTGCTATCTAAGCTGCTCACAGTCCCACTAAGCTTTTTGCTTTATGCCTTGAATCAGTTTGAAAACTCATTTACTTCAGAGAGCTCTACTACAAGTTCAATATCTTCATGTAGTAGTAGTTAGCTGTATTTGCTGAGAAATGACTTTTCTAGAAGAAATGTCTGGTCAGGCAATGCTATCTGGCACACAGTACATTATTTGTGGTATGTTTACTGCAGAAATCTCACTCAATGCATTTTTCTGTGTGATGCTGGGCTAGTAAGCAAGTTAAATGATGGCTAACCTCTGCCTTCAGCCGCATGTGGAGCTAAACAAGCAAATTTATTACCATCTTCAAAAAGTCATTGATGTTTGAATTCTGAAAAAATACAACCCTCCATCTCAAACAGCACCCAAAATGTCTTTTGTCGAACTTTTGAGCTGCAGGTGGTAGAGGAAGATCTCTACAGTGTTAAAACTCTCACTTAAAATAAACAAGTGTATCCATCTGGAATAGATGGTGTGGGAGGAGCATTGGGGAGTGAAGCTGCTCACTGCCATTATAAACTTTGCCCCTGAGTTCAAGCATAATAAACACGTGACTGTTGATTGTGAAGGAAAAAAAGGTTTACTGAAGAGCAGAAATTAATCTTTACAGATTAGATCTGATACTAACTCTGAGTAAAAGACAGAGAATAAATGAACTTTGAAGTGAGAACTGAAGATCAGTGTAAAAAAGTAACTTTGTGGAAGGTATGATGTGATTGTGGAAGAAAGTAATTGAAAATCAGAAGATATTTTTTAAAAATAATCTTTATACGTGGAGTGTAACACTTTGAGTAAAAGGAAGAAGAGATGTGAGTCTTGAAATTAGAACTCAAGTTACAAGATCCTTGTTTGTACATGCAGAATAAATTAATTCAAAACATAGAGAATTATTTGCCACCAGATTCCAGAGCATTAAGTGTTTTCACTTGACCTCTCTTGCTGGAGTAACTTAGAGAGAAAATGGGGCTTGAGACATCCAGGGCGCCAGCTGTTCTACTTCAGTGATTTGTAGCATTATATTCCAAAGTCTGCTTTTCAAGTTGCAGTGCAGAATGAACAGAACTTGGTGCATCTGCCCTTGTACAGCAGTTTCTGAACTCAGACTGGGAGGAAAAAGAAAAAAGATCTGTTCCCTTCACCTAGGACAGAAGGTGTCCAATTCAACCCAGAGCTGTTAAGCGGAGCAGGTCTATCTCTGTGTGTAATCCTAACACACCCTACTGACAATCTTTCTGTATCTTCAGGTACTGAGGTATTTTGTAGATCTTTCCCTTTGGCAGGTGTTGGGTAGCATTATTTATTCACTAGTAGGAACAGGTTGCCTGAATGTGATTTTTGCACAGCCTTCAAGAAGCTAAGAAGTAGATGGAAGCAAGACCAAAGACTAAACTATAGATGTGGGAGGGAGGGATTGCAAATACTTTCCATCCGAGCATTTCAAAAGCATTCTGTTGTAATCTTACCAAACTAGATTGGCACACTCATTTAAAAATTAGCGAGCTGTTTTTCTTACTATTGTTTCTCTTATTGGTTGAAATGCTGCATTTTCAAGAATTTTGGCAGAATTTAAACCTTCCCAAAATATTATCCCAGCTTATTATTTTATCTTTATTTTCCTTAGTTTGGAATTTATTCTGCTGCTAAGTATAAACTTCACTAATATTGCTTTTTTTTTAACTTGAGTAGAAGGCATTTCAGTTAAAAAACTGTGTTAGCATTATATAACAGTAGATTTCTGACATATTTTCTTTTTGATTAGGTGAAAATGAAATCCTTGAAACTCTATACAATATTGCAAGCAAGAATAAGATATGGAGGTCTTACATAGGCATGGGTTATTACAATTGCTCAGTGCCGCAGCCCATTGCACGGAATTTGCTGGAGAATGCAGGATGGTAATGTACTTTTTTTTTTTTATATGCATGTATATAAATATATATTTGATATATTATAATATTAATTTTAGGAATAGGCATAGGCAAATATACACCAAACCTATTGGTTTGCTTCAGGTTTCCATGTATTTGATACTGATTTGCGTCTTCCGGTGTAAAAATTGTGTTGTTCATGCAGAAGCTAGAGAGGAAAAGGAATGCTTTTGACTTTAGAAGATGCTTTTTCTGTCAAATGTTTCACTGATTTTTGTGACTTCTATTTATTATGAACTAAAGCAAGAGTATTTGCTTTCTTCAAGGAAGTATACAGACTTAACTCCTAAACTGAAGTAATTATTTCCTAACTTCTGCCTAAATTTCAACTGACTCCCTCCTCCACTGGTGTGTGCCGTTTTGGGTGGAGGTAGTTGCGCTATGCAATACTCTAATTATGGTATTCTTATGAGGAAGTAAGAAGCCTTGAGAATTGGTATTTCTTTTTTGATTTTTTTTTTCTAACCAGAGATCTTCAAGAATTTGAGTGTGCATCCATAAAGTATGGTCTTTTCTGAGCAGATAATTCACTGATGCCTGAAAACAAGTAGACAACAATATATGAGAATTCATTTATGAAGAGGCTGAGAATATTGTACTTTATTCTCATTACCCAGCTAATGTTGCAGGTTTTTGGGAGAAGCAAAAGAGTAGCCTGTCTGACAGAACTGAATTTGGAAGTAATTGGTTTGGATTTGGTTGGGTTTTGTTTTGTTTTTTCACTTATGTAAAACAGAAAATATTTTAATGCATTGATTTATATCGTATTAACAACATTGATCTAAATAATAATGGGACTTTGTATCTTGATTGACTTTTCCTAACAAAGGCAATAAAGCCTGATTATGAATACTCATCTAGCATTGACAGCAAGGACTAGAAGTTAGAAATTATTCAACTGAAACCCTGTATTTTTCATTTGAAACTTTTGAACTGAGGATAAAGTTACGCTGTTCGAACTCAAGGAATTTATGCAGTACCTCTATACAAAGTTTTATTTGGCTTTATCCCCACCCACGTTTTGCAACATGTGCAATCTAGATGTTCCAGTATGGTGCTGCAAAACAATTGATCAGTTTCTAGGGCAAAAATAAGAATAGTTAAAAACTGGACCAAAATGAACTGTATATTTTTAAATCTTAAAAAAATTATATAATGTTAATGAGACAACTAGGAGAGTTTGTTCAGAAATCTATTCATAGAGTGTCCAGAAGTCAAACTAGATGGCTAAAAGCTAAGCTAAAAGATCTAAAAGATGGCTAAAGTATAGGCTAAAATGTTCACTGGGGAGAAAATGTATGTGTGTGTGCATGTGTGCAAAAGCAACTATGCAGATTTCATGAAAGCTGTTTTAAGAAATCAAACCTCTCCTTACATTCGCTGAGCGTGTAACACTTCCCACGCCAATGCACTTCCCATTTTAGCTCCCAGGGAAATGCTGCAAGTGCAGGTTTATTTTTTTCTGATCAGTTCTACCTCTCAAGTCACTTGTAGCTTCTCATTGTTTGGCCTTCATCAGAGCAAAGCTTGCATTGGTATACAAGGTAAGTTTATGAAAGAATGTACATTGAAGTCTATGAACACGAAAGTGAAGGACTAAATTTCATGTACTCATGACTGAACTTCAGTCTTAGTTTTCAGCTGTTGTCAGATACATGAATTGTCTTTCTTCTGTGGTTCATATGTTTTTGACGTAAAGAAATAGACTCTATAACTGGAAAGTTATAAAGTAGGTATGTTTATTGCGCGGGGGATGGCTCCACCACAAATGTGCATACCCGAGGAGGCAAGCCCTCCCACATTTATACAGTGAAACAATACATATTCATGGGACGCCTATACATATTCATTACCTAACCCCGCCTACTCCTGCTTCATATGTTAATTAGCTTATCAGTCCTTTGTGCTTGCGCAGATCTTCCCAGAAATTGTGGGCAGGGGTCTTCCTTCCGTGGGCGGTGGTCTTTGAGAGGAAGGCTGTATGACTTCCTTACAGTGTATTTTTTCACCCTTCCCCAGGAACGCGATGATTTTGCAACCTTGTAATGTCTTTATCAGTCTGAGCTAATTCGTGTCCTTGTTTACCATCTATTTCTCTTCAGCAAGGGGATTTATCGATGTTTTTGTGTCGGGTGCCATCCTGTTTTCTAATTCTTGTTCTTTATGGTTGCCTTCTAGATGAGGTTGGAGTGCCCTTTTCATGGTTGAGTGTTCTTCTCAGGGTTGCTTTTAGTTAGATAAGGTTAGAATGTCCCTTCTGTCTGTAAATAAGTCCTTGCTAGCAAGAGAAAGCAAACTTTTCCATGTGTTAGCTGTTTCTTTTCCTCTTAAGCTATATGATACTATATTCTACACTCTAAAATTCTTAATCTGTATAATTAATCATTATTTTCTATCTATTACAGTTCTTACCCCATATCATTTTGGTTTTAAATTCTATTAGTAGTCTCTCCTCACTTTAAGTTCATTTCATCTTATGAATTGTTAGATCTTAAGACGAATACTCTGTACAGCTGGAAATCAAAATCAATTCTAGCTTTGCCATTTCATGAGATTAGTCTTGCAGACATCTAAAGATGCAAGAACATAATTTGTAACAAGATAAAAGTATTATGTTGATAATGAATACATTAACCTCCCAGAGATTCAGTCAAAATACAGCAAAAGTCACTAAGGAAGATATGTGATGAACTCTTTGCTAGAATCTTCTATATATTAAGAAATAAATTAGCCTTAGTCTTAGATCTCTACTGACTGTACACCTACAAATACTAATGAAGAACTAGTTCATTGAATATTGCTTGATAGTGGAATTTTTTGTATCTTTGCATGGAAGCAAGATCTAACTTTAGTATAAAGAAGTCCTAATTGTTAATCTTGCAGTTAATGTATAGTCTGTTTGTTTTGTGGCTAAATCTAGAACAAACATGACTCCCAAGTACAAAATCTCCTGCTCTTCCATAAGCCACGTGTTTTAATTAGTGGCTTAGTTTTTGGCTGAAAGCCTGCTTCTTAAATACTTTCTTACCTTCAGTATTTGGAAAAATAATAAATATTTATGTTATTTGGTATATAGCAATTGCTTTCTGTCACTGTACTTGAGTAGTGTGAGACGTTTGAGCAAATGTATCATTTAAATAGGCAGTAAATAAGCTAGCATCATGTATTACACTTTGATTTCACTTATTGTCCTTACTGGCTCTTTCATTTTCTTCTTCAGGACATTTGTCCTACCTTCTCTCTTGCATTACGATTTTATCGGTCCTCTCATTTTGCTCTATATCACAAGTTCTGCACCTTGCTCTTCACAAATCAATGTTGCTTACCTTCTATTGACTTTATATGACTTGACCTTCCATATAGTTCAGTCTCTCTTTAAAGATTATACCTTCACCCATAAACATCTTTGAAAAATCTGGTGATTACTACCTCCCTTTCAGGAAACAAACTGTCGATTTCTTCCACTACTAGAAAACAAGGGCCACGCATGTTCCCAGTTACCACTTGTTTCTGTCCACTACTCTGAATTCAAACAGGGAGAAAGTCTGTCCTGAACCACTGTGTAATCCACTATCCAAATTTCCAGTAGTGAGAGGGGAGTCTGATCACTGTTCTTGGCTTTCATCCCTGGACCCATGCTGCTTTGTTTTTCTGGACTGTTACAATGGGTTGTTTTCTTCAGACTGTTGCCTTTTCTAAGGAATTGCTTATCTTTCCTCTACTGTTTTGGACTCCGAATGACAACTCACATCAGTGAAATTGCATATTTCTGAGCTGGATCTTGTGAAATGCCTTATGTCTTTCCTCCTGTAAGAGTGGGGCAGACTTGGCAAGTGAAGGGCTTCAGAAACAGTATTGAAGGGCAATGGAAGTAACTAGATATGACTGTACTAAGCATTCTCATTTGGATATTGTGACTTGACTCAATTTTTCCACACTCAGTACCTACTTTCCCGTCTCTTCTCCAAGATGCAGTCACGCCTCTGTTTTAAAAGTAATTTCTCTTTTCAAAATGGAGTAATAGAATTCTTCTCCTGTAAAAAGCCAAGTCAATACCAGAAGAAATATTCTCAGGCTTCTAGGGCAGTAGTAAATTACAGCCTTCTAAAAATAACCGTTATGTAACAAACGTTCATGTTAGTGAATTATGCTTTACAATTTATTTTCTTATGACATAGTTCTGTTATATATTGACATAATTCTATTACACATTTACTTACCTAGACCCAAATTCATGATTGTTTTCTTACAGGGTTACCCAGTATACTCCTTACCAACCTGAGGTCTCCCAGGGCAGGCTGGAGAGCCTGCTAAATTACCAGACTATGGTGTGTGATGTCACAGGAATGGATGTGGCCAATGCATCTTTGCTGGATGAGGGGACAGCTGCTGCAGAAGCCATGCAATTATGTCACAGGTACTATGTTTAAACATAGGCTTAAGTCAGACATCTAAAGCCTTTAGAAGCTGAAGGACCTAGAGACCAGGGGAAAGTCTAGAGCAAGGAGGACTTACCTTTGCTGGAGGAGAGTCAGATTAGTGAATGCTTGAGCGAACTGGACATAGACATGTCCATGGGCCCTGAGATGGTGCACCCATGAATGCTGAGAGAGCCACTTGGTGTCATTACAAGGCCACTCTTGATTATCTCTGTACAGTTGTGGTGATTGGAAGAGGTGCCTTAGGACTGCAGGAGAACAAACATTGCTCTTATCTTCAGGAAGGGCAGCAATGAAGATGCAAACAACTACCAGCAAGTTAGCCTTACCTCAGTCCCTTGAAGATGGAGTAACTGCTAGTATTGGAAACCATTTCCAGGCATTTGAAAGACAAGAAGGAGATCAGGAGTGACCAGCATGGACTCATACAGGGAAGTTATGTTTGACCAGCCCCATAACTTTCTACAAGTAAATGGCTGGTTTGGTGGATGAGTGGAGAGCAGTGGATATTGTCTACCTTGATGATCTCCCCTACGTACTCACAGAGAAGCTAAAGTAGTTTGGTCAGGATGAGGTGAGGGTGCGATGAATTGAAACTGGCCAAATGGCTGGGCCAAGAGGGTGGTGTTAATGATGTACCCCAGAGGAAACACTGGGTCCAGTTAATGATCTGGGTGATGGGGCAGAGTGTATTCTCGGCAAGCTGGCAGATGATCCAAAACTAGAAGGAGCAGCTGTTACACCAGGGAGTTGTGCTGACACCCAGAGGGACCTTGGCAGGCTGGAGAAATGGGCTGACAGGAACCTCATGAAGCCTGAGAGGAAGTGAGAGGAAAGTCCTGGGGCTGAACAACCCCAGGCATATGAGGTACTTGATGGGGGCAGGCAGGCTGGAGAGCAGCTTTGCAGAAAAGGCCTTTGGAGTCCTGTGGAACACTCAAGTTGAACATAAGTACTCTGTCCAGTTCTGGGCTACCAGCACAAGAGACACTTGGATCTACTGGAGAGACTCTAGTTGCCCGGCCTCTGGTACCAGCCCAGCTGCTGACAAACACAGACAGGACCGAAGATGTGAATTGTTTTTTTTTCCAGTACTGGTTAAAAAGAGCTTTACAAACGGGTGAAGTTCATCAGTCCCAAGTTGCTAAAAGCAAAACTGTTACTGATATATCCAAATTTCCTTTCAGGGATTTGTATTGTTGGGGCTTTTGAAAGGGATCTGCAAATCAGATTAAATCTGAGAGGAGATTGAAGATCACTGTAGAATTGTGTATCAGGAAGGAGATTGCACAGCAGAGAGTATATTCTAACTAGTCAGTTGTTGAAAGCGTCAGTCTGACATAAACCCATGTTTACTGGAGAAGACCAGGCAATTGTGTTAGTCTCCATTTTACTACTTTGATAGCTCATGTTTGGTTATCCAGGGCAACACTGAAAATCGGTAATAGAGACTGCAGCTGCATTCCCCTAAAATAGTATGTGTGTGTTTTTATTCCTGCAGTTTCTTAAGTTGGCTTCTTGTTCTTTTTCATAGTCTGTTTTCATTTTTGTCATGTATGATTCTCATTTGAGTTCCTGAAATTAACTTTCTTATTTTAAATGGCCTAGAATCTTCATTCAGTCTTACACCTAACTTAATTATGATGACCAAAATTTACAACTGCCTTTTAACTTAGAAAAACTCACATTTAGAAAACCAAGTAATTTCATTTCCATGGAAAACAGTATATTCTTGATCTATAACCATTCTTCTTTTCCTTTTCTTTTGAACAGGCACAACAAAAGAAGGAAGTTCTATGTAGATGCCCGATGCCACCCTCAAACTATAGCAGTGGTCCAAACAAGAGCAAAGTAATGTTCTTCACTGTATTTTTTCACTCACATGTAATCTTTTCCATCTATGCCTCTTCACCATATACCTAACATTTTTTGGAATATAAAATTATGCTTCCTTTGCAAAATAGAAACAGAAATCTTTTAGAAACTTTTGGTGTTGCTTCTACTTTTCCATTCACATACAACTGCAAAGTAATTAAATATGTTTAAAAAGAGAATAAACATCTGATAAAAAGAAAGTGTTTCATTTCCTCCGTAAGTTGTTTGCACGACTATATACATTTGGTTATTGAATACAGTCTGGTCATTTTTTTTAACTAGGAAATGAGTTACCATTTTTACTATAATTACTGCTCTTCTAATGAAAACTACATCCATTTTAAGTTCACAGTCTAAAGTAACCATATTCTACAAATATGACTTGATTCTCAAACATGTTAAAACAGCAAAATGTGGGTATCAAGTAGCTTATGCATCCTCTGCACTGCTTTGCTCCATATTTATGATGGTGATGATGTCAAATTCAACTATTCTTCAGTACTGTATACCATGATGTTAAACTTTCAATGTTTAGTGCTGCAAAGCAGGTTCAACTCTCTATGTTAAAGCAATAAGTCATATACAATGCCATGAAAGCGTATTGTCACTCCAAGGTGGGAACTGGTTTGAATATATCGTCTTTTCCATGTTTTTCATTTCCAGTTATACGGGTGTTATTACTGAGCTCAAACTACCCCATGAGATGGATTTCAGTGGAAAGGATGTCAGTGGAGTATTATTTCAGTATCCAGACACTGAAGGGAAGGTGGAAGATTTCTCTGAACTTGTTGAAAGAGCTCATCAGAATGGGGTAAAGTAAATCTTACAGGTCTCACAAATCTCAGTCTGATGCATCAAACAACCCTAGTCATAGAAATTAAGTGCTACCTGAGCTACCGTCTAAAGTTCTGCTCCCGAGCTCCATGCAGCTGATAACCATTACAACCCTTGCACCTCTGCTCTGTACGGAAATGTCTGAAGCTTTATGTCTTGGTCAAAGTTATTCCCTATGTGAACACTGTTCCTTCAGAAAAGAGGCTGACTGCTTTGTGCATTTTTGTTCTCAGACTCTTGCCTGCTGCGCTACTGACCTTCTGGCTCTCTGTATTCTGAAGCCTCCTGGAGAGTTTGGGGTAGATGTTGCGCTGGGTAGCTCCCAGAGGTTTGGTGTGCCGCTGTGCTACGGGGGACCCCATGCAGCATTCTTTGCTGTCAAGGAAAATCTAGTGAGAATGATGCCAGGCAGAATGGTGGGTGTTACAAGGTAAGGGCTCCTTTTGCCATTAGTGTCTTCAGGGAAAATTGAAATGCAACACATTATGACCATCTCGTGCAGCCTTTATGAATAACAGATGACTATGGTATTATATGGGACACCTTTCTTCCTGAAAACTGAGAGAGTAACAATTGCCTTCAATTTTTAGAAAGCAAGCTTTAAGAATTGCATTTGTGTAGAAGGGAGCTGTGAACTGTCTCCTGTGCTTGCTGCAGTGTGGGATGAAGAGATAACCAGTACAGCAGAGAGGATTAATTGTGAATGTATGAGGCTTTGCGAGCTAACATATTCTGCTTATTATGGACTGTTACGCCTGTTTCTGTAACACGCAGTCAATAAAAAGATAAATGAGAAGAAGAAGAAAGTTCAATGAATCTCTGAAATAATCAAGAAGGAATTGAATATAGTTCAAATTTTAGTCAACCCTAAACAAAGTAGACTAATAGTGTGCAAAAAGTTACCTTTTGTTATTGGTGATGTCCTTTGAAATTTGACAAGATGTCTAACTGGGAATAGTAGAAATACAATGTAATTGTCACTGGAAAAAGTGGCTATCTTTGGCACAGAAGCTGTTCAGAAGTACTTCAGTAACAAAAATAACTAATGACATTTACAGTTGTCAATAAGCTTATAAGTATCTCATTTGTATAATAATATTCCTTCAAATATGTTTTTAATCATCTTGCTTATTCTGAGGGTATCCTTAGGCTTTACTCATAGTTCTGAAATATGATCCCCAACTCAGATTTTGACCAGAAGTCTAGTACAATCTTTGGCAAAAGAAGGGTAATTCTGTTTATCAAGATTATGCTGCTGCTGCTCTGTAACTACACCTAGTTTAATATTTTTAATCTATTTTGATCTTTCTGCATCCCAAAAAAGTTGGAAAAGAAAATGGTAAAATGGAAAAAGCTACAGTACTTTCTCAATGCAGCTCTCTGATAGGGATTTTAAACAGTTTTTGCCCACAGACTCACAGAATGATTGAGGTTGGGGGAAATCTCTGGAGGTCATCAGTCCAATCTACCAGCTGAAGCAGAGTGACCTTGTGTCAGTAGCCCAGGAGTGTGTCTAGATGTCCCTTGAAGATTTCCAAAGAAGGAGACTCCACAGTTCTCTGGGCAACCTGTGCTAGTGCTTAGTCACCCTCACAGTGAAGAAGAGTTCCCTTATGTTCAGGAGGAACCTCCTGTTTCAGTCAGTGCCCGTTGCCTCTCTTTCTGTCGTTGGGCACTGATGGCAAAAGCCTGGCTCTGTCCTTTTTGCACCCTCCCTTCAGATAGTTATATATTGATGAGGTTCTGCCTGAGCCTTCTCTTCCCTAGCTGAACCATCCCAGCTCTCTCAGCCTCTCTTCATATGAGAGGTTCTCCAGTCCCGTCAATGTTTTAGTGCCCCTTCACTGGACTCTCTTCAGTACCTCCCTATCTCTCTTGTACTTGAGAGCCCACAGGACTAAACATAGTACTCCAGGTGTTGCCGCACCAGTGCTGAGGAGAGGGCAAGGATCTCTTCCCTTTCCTTTTTGACAAAGGTTTGCCTAATGCAGCCCAGGGTACCAGTTACCTTCTTTACTGCATCGGCACATTGCTGGCTTATGTTCAACTTAGTGTCCCCAGGAGTCCCAGGGTCTTTTCTGCCAAGCTGCTTTCCAGCTTGGTGGCCCCAGCATGTACTGCTTCATGGGGTTCTCTGCTGGGTGCAGCACTTCACACTTCACTGGTTGAACTTCATGAGGTTCCTGTCAGCCCATTTCAGCAGGCTGTCCAAGTCCCTCTGGATGGACTGATGGTAAAAGCATTATAGTCAAAATAACCAAACAACTGCTGAAGTAAAAATAATTTAAATATTATATAACTGGTGCACATGTACTTGCAGCAAGTAGTCTATTTAAACTCCTACATATATATATATATTTATATGTTCAGATATATGTGTACATAGGTTGTCCATTTTTGTGGCTGTTCTGAAACTTTTCATAGTTTTAAAGGATATTAGATTGGCTCATAGCTCTCCTCTTTTAACATGTTAGGAACCCTACAAAAGGACTTCTTAAAGGCTGGATTGGCCAGAGCTCCTTCAGTTAGCTGTAGAAGCTTGTTGGACCATTATTTTTATACATAAACTCAAAACACTCTTATTTGACATCACTAGAAAAGATGCTGCCTTTGGTTTTCAGATTCAAGTTCAGGATTACTCTTCGGTCAAAACAGTTGCAATAACCTGTGGTATTTTAAAGCAAATACTAAGTTTTGGTGTAGAATGCTTGGAAAACAAATCATGTGCTCTACCTAACCGAACATCTTTGCTAGCCATTATGTAAGCAGAAATCTATACACTTTAGTCTCATGCACCGTTTGATACCACAGTTGCCCAGAGTTAGCTTTATTCTCTCTGACACCTGTCTTTTAGGGTAGATACTTAGTTTCAGGTTAGCATGCATAGAGCCCAATGTCTTAAGTTACTGTAGTTTTAAAGTAACAGAAGCAACATTTTTGCTTGTGACTCAGAGATGCAAATGGAAAGGAAGTGTACCGTCTTGCTTTGCAAACACGAGAGCAGCATATCAGGAGGGATAAAGCTACCAGCAACATCTGCACAGCACAGGTAAGTGGTCATGCTTTATCTTCAGCAGTAGAAAGGAAGAGGTTAAACCGTAAGATTATAGTCCTAACATCACAATAATTTGTGTTGCCTTTGCTTTTGAGAGTTCTTACTAGGAAAGTGAAGAACATTTTAAAATTCTGGTGCTTGTGCATTTGTTTTGAGTGCTTTAAAAAAATGGAACCCTTTAATAAAACTTTTGGCTCTGAATTCATGCAGTGTCATGAGTTCATCTGTTTCTTAAGGTGAACACCACTGAGTAATGCTGTGCTTGTTGTGAATGAGACAGATTTCTTAATAAAATGGAAGGGACCTCTGGTGATAAGAAATTGCCTGCTCAAGTCAAAAATAAAAATTAAATTCTGAAGCTGCTTGTTCAAATTGTTACAGCTTATATTTTTGTGTGTGATTTGACATAAAAATATTACTTTGCCAAAGAGCTATCTTTACAGGAAAATATCATGATTAAGTAACTATCCAAAATAGTTGTCTTCAGCATGCCTCCACAGACCTTCAGCCAGACCAGTTCATAATTTTTTCTGCTTCTATCAATACTTCACTCATCCTCTTTTCATGGTGCCAGTCTTGAGTATTAATTGTTAATATTACAAGAAGCTTAATTACTTATTATTCACGAGATACTCCGTAAATGTTCTGTACCAATCCTAAACAATTAGTTTCCTATGAGACTAGCTTTACTTGAGAGTCTTCAAATGTCTTTGTTGCAGTAGTTGAATTTAAGTTCATGATACTTGCTGATGCAGTTACATTTCAAAGGGTATTGAATTAATAATCAGGGCTTACAGCTTCATAAAAGTACTTTGCCTTTCCCACTTTGTATTTTGTAGGCAACACACAGTTAAATATAACATCAGCTGAGGGTATGTGGCTGTCTCTGGGTGCTAAAGAAACTTTCCATTAAACTATCACAAAGTAATCTTCTGTAATAACAATAATGATAATAAAATGATGATAATTGTAATAATAATGTCCTAAACTGTATTTGGATTCTAGGCTCTTCTGGCTAACATGGCAGCCATGTTTGGTGTATACCACGGGTCTGATGGATTAAGGCATATTGCAAGGCGGGTACACAATGCTACTCTGATCTTGGCTGAAGGTCAGTATTTAATGCTTGCAGAAACGGTTCTTAAATTCTTGTACCTTCTTAAATAATACATCTTAGATGAAATTATGGGGCTTTTTATGCTGACTGATGTGTATTCTCTCAATTCTGGAGAGAACATTACAAAAGAAAATCCCTAGCTGATGTTTTTGTGTACTTCTGATAATGACATGCAAGAATTGGATATCTGTTTGATATGAGCTTGCAAGTATTGCTTCTATTTTCCTGGGAAACTAACAGAAGTTTACACAGTGAGTCTCTAGATTGTGAAATTAAAATCCTGTTTTCCAGCTGCAAAGCTCTGTACTTACTGGACCATCCTGGTTTACACACAGAATTCTGAACATAGTATTAGTAACACAGCAAAATTAAGTAATAAATGAAATTAAAGAAATAGAAATATTTTAGTTAAGTTGGGTGGAACATCATAGCTGCTGCAAACACTGAAATCCCAAATCTTAACAGCTGACAGAAAGCACAGAATCAATAGCAGAAAATAATGACTGTAGGTTAACTGTGTGGTCTGGTAGGTTTCTCCACTGCCATGACTATCAGTGCTGTTAGAAGGAGGTATGCAGAACTGGGATGCTGGAAATTGAAGAATGATTGCTACAATTATCCATACTTCATTTGCCAGCTTAGCTGGAAGAGTTTTTGATGCTGTGAAAAGTACTAAGACTCTACACTTTGTTGTGGCAAGCTCCGTGGTGGTTAATATCCATTTAAATAATAAAATTTTTATTTCCAGTCTTGTATTTTGTCCTTGTTGCATTCGTATACCAATTCTGCTACTGTATAGATTACAATTCTGATGTATCAGAGGGTTCTTCTGTAGACTCAGTCTCCATTGTTACTTAGGTCTGAATCTGATTTAGATGCATGTCATGCACAGTGACATTTCATTAAAAGGGTCGTGCTTTTGCTGCTCTGAAAAGGAGAATATTCTGCTTTATTATATAAAAGCATTTCCTTAGGAGACTGCTAGTGTTGTTATGCAAGTAATGTGTAAGCGAGCAATACAGTGTGCAGCTAATAGAATTAACTTACTATTTTTTATAGGTCTCAGGCGAGCTGGTCATAAACTACATCATGATCTGTTCTTTGATACCTTGACAATCACGTGTGGATGCTCAGTCAAAGAAGTTTTGGACAGGGCAGCTCTTCGAAAGATAAATTTTCGGATTTATAGTGATGGCAGGGTAAGCAACTCCCTAAACCTTTCAGCGGTTTTGTAGCATGACTTTTTCTGCATTAGGTTTCTAGTCATTACATGTGCTAAACAGAACAAAATTACTTAAGACTTTTTGCAATTTGCTCAGGTATATCAGTCAACTATAAAGATAAAATAAAGAATGAAGTTATGTACTGAACTTAGAGAAATAACTGTATTTTCATTTTATGCATATTTAAAAAGGCCATCTAATTGTTTCATGTTAAATGTGCCACTAAGGGGTAGAGTGGATAGACTAAAACTTAATGATGAAATGCAAGGGGACATCCAGAATTCAGGTCCTGTGACAGCATTTAAAGACAGATTGAAATCTGAAGCACATTTTAGTAGGCCCTGGGGACTTTTGGGAAAGCTTAATATATTATATAAAATGAGGTGGAGGGAGAGGGAATTCTGCAAAATGGGCAATTTTCCTATAGGATGGAAAGCACTTAGAAACATTAGAAGTGAGGTCACAAGTCTTGAACCTCGTCATCCATCTAGCTTGGATGGCTTAGCAGAGGAAAGATAAGGATTCAAAAATTCTGTGTAAATAAATTCATGTATTGTTGTGGTTTGAGGCTTGGA